TTGTGTTCAATACAAATTGTAAACCAATAATTTATCAAGCAAGATACGGCATTAGGGTCAACACAACACGCACGTGTGTTCTGAGGTCCGACTGACATACGATAATGGAATAATTTGTCTACAGTAGTCGTGATTTAAGTCACGTTCGTTTTGTTAGTGGCAACACCGCTGATAGTGCCCAAACATAGAGTTAAACCCGTTTCCAGTTTTCTCTAGTTTAATGTAAACTATTTGTTTCTTAGGTTTTCACGCACATCACTCATTAAATAAAACTAGTTTATATCATATAATAAGAGACCTTCCTGAGAAGACATATAACTATATGTCTTCTCAGGAAGGTCTCCCAATTTTGGAACCGGTGGTAGTTTACGGTAGTTAGGGTCAAATAAATAAACTCAAAATTACAAACTAGAATTTTAAATAAAATACTTTATTAAGTAAATTAAATAATAAATTCATACATAGACAATAAAATTTTAAAAATCTTCCAATGAAATAACCGAACGCACAATATAATTCTTTCGAAGGTAGCTCGACAATTTTAAATAAAATCATTATTCTGACGATGCAGACCTGAAAAGGCTGCGAAACGTCAATAAATAAATAAAGTTTCGTGCATTAACCCGTAAAAACTAGTTTTATTTAAAGTAAACTAGTTGATTCTCGCGATATCACCTGAATGTTTAATCATATCCTCTTTTCCCTTCCAATATTTAATTATTTACTCGGCATATTTTTTTTGATATCTCTATATCAAACTGCATCAAAATAAACTGGTTAAGCGTGAAAAACTCGCAGACTAAGGGCCTGTTTCACAATCAATAATTAAAGGTATAAGTAGTTACTCAACAAGTGAATTACTTAAAAGTTCAATAAATCCTTTCATTAGCTTTGTTTGCGTTTCACAATCATTTAATGAGTAAATTAAAGTGAAGATTAACTAATTAATACTTGAAAATGAGTGTGCTGGCTGCTTTAGAGTTTAACGTTTCGTTTCAAGTTAAGAGTAATTAATGTGTTTTTATAAAGTATATTAATCATAGAATTAACATTAAAAATATTTTTCGTTATGATTTTAAAGTATAATACAGATAAATTTATATAAAAAAATAGTTATTGTAATATAAAAGAGAGATTTTACCTTTTCTGCAGTCAATGTTTCTGTAAGAATGGAACGCAATGAGGTGTCACTAAAATGTCTATGTCATTCAGTCGCCGGCGCTGGTTTTGTATGAATATGACTGAAGAAATCTTATCTTTTGTTTAAATTGAATTTATTTTTACGAACATTGTGTTATTAAAAAATGACTACAAAACGGGAAAGAGATAATAATTTTACGCGAGAAGAATGTGAGACGTTAATTCAGCTCGTTAATAAAAATAAACACGTGTTGGAAAATAAAAAAAAAGTGATGCCGTTGGGCGGAAAAAGAACAATGTTGGCAAAGAATAGAAACTAAATTTAACAGTATAAGCAGTGTTCGATTTCGTAGTGCAAAAGCTTTGAAAATCGTCAAATTCATCTTCAATAAGTTCAAAAATATCCATTTTAAATTAAAAAAGAATATGTTCTTTGATGAAAATCTGGAAATGTCGTATTTGAGCTTATGTTCTCTTACATTTACTTGTCAAGTAAACGGCTACTTGACAGTGCATCCGATGATTAATTTACTGAACCGCTTCGGTATTTTATCCCCTTGGGGGTAGAATTGATCAAAATCCTTTCTTCGCGGATGCCTACGTCATAGCATCTACCTGCATGCCAAATTTCAGCCCGATCCGTCCAGTGGTTTGGGCTGTGCGTTGATAGATCACTACGTCAGTCAGTCAGTCACCTTTGAGTTTTATATATGTATATAGATATAGATATTCAAGGCGGACTTCATACTAGATATTGTCCTGTTAATATAAAAGGCACATTACTAAGCCTACGTAAACCCGCATGATTAAGCGAGTATAACTAAAGGAAGGGCGCTGTTTCGGGTCTCGTCTGCTGCCTGGACCGCGTGGAATTTGTTCTTGTAAAATTTTCTTTAGACTTAAAAGTCTAGCAGTTAAATGCTTAAAAAATATAAGTATAACAACTTATTTATTTCTTATGTTTTTTTCACCGAGTTTGTATTTGTAATGCGTTTCTCAATAGTTTTATACATAGAGATATAATAATAATAATAATAATATTAATATTAATATTTCCAACACTCACACCAATTAGCCTAGCCCCAAAGTAAGCACTGTAAGGCTTGTGTTATGGGATACTAAGGGTAACGGATAGAATACATATATTGTACATACATAAGTGACTCCATGACTGGAGTACAAATGCTCGTATTCATCACACAAGCATCTGCCCCCACCGGGATTCGAACCCGGGACCACTCGGCCGCGGAGGTCGTCGATATAAATCCATATTAAAGTATTAAAAAACGCATTTTAAACCGGTTGTTGAAAAGTAGATTTATCTAATAAGTTTCTGATGATCTATAAAAATTATAACTAAGAATTTAATAAAAAGCAAATAATAATACCAAACTTCCATTAAGTATGTATTACACTATTAAACAAACGCTATGGTTGAGATTTGAATAAACAACTGGAGCTGATAGTGTATTGTGGTGTATATGTGTTTACTAATGTTACGTTAGCTTTAGCTCAGCCGTTGTTTATATAGGGCACTCACTCTGATTACCTTAAGGCTCGTTCACACCATACCACCGTTCGCGTCTCTTAAAAACGCCTCTAAAACAAAACAAAATACTTATTATTGCATGACATAGCAAAGACCAGGGATTTTGCAAACCAGATGCATCTTTAAAATAATTTTATTAGGCAAATTTTCTCTTAAAGCATTGCGCCATTTTTATTTTAAAACTTGGCGGTTTTTTTTATATATATTAAACATCAATAAAGTCCAATCTTCCAGTCAATATACTTATTTAAAATATTATGTAAAATAAAAAAAACTTTATCTCAAATAAGAGATCAGTCAGCGGCATTCAGTTATCCATACAATGTTATCAATGTCAACAGTGGGGCGCAGCAGGTTTAAGATTACTTGTATTGATGATAATACAAGTACTTTATTTATTTTCGGATAAGATTCCGTAATTTATTGAAGTTAATATTGGATTATTTAAAATTAATATGCGTGGTGCCATGCCTTGTTAACAAGATGTAAATGCCTATTTGCCATCTTACTTTGTGGTATATTGGATTTCTATCACAGTAACATGATATTTTCGCCACCAAAATACGTGTCTTTCCTACTCAGTAAATTTCGAAGAAAAATATTAGTAGGTATTTCGAAGCAAAATTTTAGATTAACCGAATTTCTTTTCATATGCGCAATACAAACGACTTAATGTGAAAAGAGCCATAATGTTAAGCGGAATTCCGAAGATAATATAGGTAGTGCGAAGATTTTGATTTTAACATGTATGTAAAACTATTTGATAGAGGTGAATACGGAATTTTCGAATTTTTGAGCGCCCGTTTATAAAGGGGGAAGCAAAAAAACATACGTTTACATTTCAGTAGTTGACCTTGTCGATCTGCATGTTTCTTTGCTTTTCCGTTTTAAACGCGCGTCCGCAATCCACGCGGTTAGCGATTTTTGTTTGCACGCAGTCACCTCAGTGTGGGCGTATCCTACACATAAGCCAGTCCGTACTCCACATGTGGTAACAATTTTGTTTCTTTCCACTCACACTCGAGATGAATAGCGGTGACCTCGCGGCCAGGTCAAGTGCTCCATGCACTTTAGCTATGAATTAGTGGTCACTAATCAAATAACTAAATTCTGTTTGTCGCTTAGAGTGCAAATCATTCGGACCTTGACATACCTAAAACATTTGAATGTCAAATTATGTATTATAAAAAAGTGTGCATTACAAATATGCAACGTTACGTGTGTTTGCAAAATTTAGTCCTCATGCAACAGGGCTCGGATAAATAAAATATAACATGCTAGCAACTTTTCATTCCTATTACAGAACAAAAACTATTATGGTCCCCACTCACATACGGTACTCGTTAGTTTTACTTTAAAGCGAATAGAAATCAACGTGTAGACCGCAAAACTCACAACTCGAAGGCTCGGTCGTAGGACGCGACGCTTTGATTTTTACTCGCTTTATGTCGCAATTACCGCCGCTTCTTTATTTTTTCTACCTTTTCTAAGGTATAAATGTTATTATTACTTACTTATGCTTATGAGTAAAAACTAAGTAAACAACTATCGTTAGTAACATATGGTACAGCATTGATTTCGTCAAGCGTGTCTAATGCGTTAATTTCAAACCACAATGACTGTATAGATTTTGAGATTTTGCTGAGTGCGGCCGCAGAACATTCATTATCTATTGTTTGAGCTCAATACCGTAATGTCCCATTGGGGATACAGCGAGTCGATGAGCTTCTGTTACATTTCCGGTTGCAAAATCATACCTAGACAGTGGTAGGAGTCGACTTTTGCGCTGTCTTGACTGTTAATAACGAATCATTTGCTAACAATGTTTGAGCACTTTTGAGAATCCGTTAGCAAAAATGGTAGTTACGTGGTTAACCTGTAAGAATTATAATATTTGTATGCAAAGCTCACGCGACTGATATACTAAAAATACTCTTTAATTAACTTCACGGAGAAAGGCTATTTAAGTACATGGTGATGACAAAAATATTAACGACTAGTGGAGTTGAGCTGTATTGTAGAATTCGATTTTTTCTCACCTTTTAAACGTTCCCTACACCTCTACGAACATTTCAAGACCAAGATAAGATAAATCCGTTCAGCCGTTTTCGAGTTTTAGCGAGACTAACGAAAAGCAATTGATTTTTATATTCATGGATATTTAATCAAGATATTATTTTTTTATTCAAGTAATCAAAATTTACGAGTTATGAGGTTATTAAAAATTATAAACAATAAAAAAACGCAAACCTTACACCCTGGTGATCGTAGCTTACAACACATATAATGACAATGACTTTTTATATTACAGAGCGAGTCATCATACACGTCGTCCGAAGAGGGCTGCGGTGGCGGCGAGCGGCACGCGGTGCTCAGCTACGAGCAGGTGCGGCGACTCAACGACGTCATGGACGAGGTCGTGGCCATCCACGGGCGCGGCAACTTCCCCACGCTGCATATCCGCCTGCGGGAGCTGGTCGCCGGCGTGCGAGCCAGGCTCGCCGCGCCCCCCAGCTCCGGCGGTGCCGGCGTCACCGTCAGGGATGTCCGGCTCAACGGAGGCGCCGCTTCACACGTACTCGCCGACCGCGCCCAGCCCTACTCCGACATCGACCTCATCTTCACCGCCGAACTACCCACCGCGCGTCACTGTGACCGCGTCAAAGCTGCAGTATTAGGGCATCTAGCCACCCTCCTCCCACCCGCCACGCCACGCCGCCGTGCCACTCCCGCCGGCATCAAGGAAGCCTACGTCTCCAAAATGGTCCGCGTCAACTCCGATGGTGATCGCTGGTCGCTCATATCGTTGGGAAACTCGCGCGGTCACAAAACGGTGGAGCTCAAATTCGTGGACACGATGCGCCGCCAGTTCGAATTCTCCGTGGACTCGTTCCAGATCGCCCTGGATTCGCTGCTTGCGTTCCACGAGTGCGCTCAGCTTCCTATCGGTGAAAACTTTTACCCCACTGTCGTGGGGGAATCCGTGTATGGGGACTTTGGAGAAGCGCTGCTGCACTTATCGGAAAAGTTGATCGCGACGCGGCAGCCTGAGGAAATCCGCGGCGGCGGCTTGCTGAAGTACTGCGCGTTGCTCGCCAAGGCCTACCGGCCGGCGCGCCCTGACAAGATCAAGACCCTGGAGCGCTACATGTGCTCGAGGTTCTTCATCGACTTCCCAGAGCTTGGCCAACAGCGCGCCAAGCTCGAGGCCTACTTGAGGAACCACTTTGTCGGTCGGGATGAGGAGGCGCTAAAACACAGGTAATTTATACTTTATGTTTATCTCAATCTGTTTGTTTTTTTTTACATTATAAGGAACATTTTTAGCAGAAAAACACTAATAAAAGATTTAGGTGTGTTTTTCGATGATGGTTTAAGCTTCCGTCCTCACTACGATCTTATTATAAAGAAAAGTAACAGTATGCTGGGATTTATCATTGGATCTACTAAGCAATTTAAAAAGTCACAAAGCATTATCTGTCTTTTTTTCAGTCTGGCGAGAAGTATCCTTGAATACTGTTGCCCTGTATGGTTGGTTGGCCCTATTATGATGTACATGTTACTAAAATTGAACGTCTTCAGGGAAAACTCCTGAGAATCCTTTCTCGTAAAATATGGTCGTTCCCTTAATAATTATTAAGACCGATTGCGTAATTTGGTGTTGTCTCCCTACAAACCAGGCGTATAAGATATGATTTAATTTGCCTAAGATCTTCCACAAATCCGGGCGGAAATTTCTTTACTGAGATTATTGCTCTAGCACAGCAGCAGCACTAAAAGTTTTTAAGACTAGCCATTTTTTGTAGATGTTCGTAGGGTGGCGCTTATATAGCTACCGTAAAGTTTTCTGACACCGTTTTTCTCCGCCAGGTACCTGACGCTGCTCCACGGCGTGGTGCGCGAGTCGACAGTGTGCCTGATGGGCCACGAGCGGCGGCAGACGCTGGCGCTGATCGAGGCGCTGGCGTGCCGCGAGCTGTGCGCGCGCGCTGCGCTGCTGGTGCCCGGGTACGTGGTGGGCGTGTGCGCCGCGTGCGCTGCGTGCGCCGCGTGCCCCGCGTGCCCCGCGTGCCCCGCCTGCGCCGCCGCCGTCTGCGCCGACTGCTACCGTCCCGCGCTCTGCCCCGCGTGACCCCGCTAGCGCTAGGACACACACCGACCGATGAATTTAGTGCCAAATGTATATAATACGGATAGAGAGATGCGTGCGGCCGGTCCCGGACCACGGAACGTCGGAAACTTTGGCAACCATCGCGTCGACGCGGGCTTCGAGCCCGCTCTGCTCTCTGTCAATTCGTCTCGCTCAGTATACCTACTCCGATCAATTCCGCACGTCAATTGCCGAGCGGCGGCCCGACTCGGCCCGGCCGCCGACGTTCCGCGACGAGTGAAGTAATTTCTAGTCGTACTCCTTTCGTGTTGACCGCTTAATATGTTAGCAGTACGAAAATTATCTTTCACGATGACTACGCGTTGTTAGAGAGTGAAACCGAGTCGATGGTCTGCCTATAAAAAAAGACTAGTTTGTTAATTTTAAGCTTTTTATTATTATAATTAAAAATGTATGTCTCCGTAAATGTAGAAGCATGTCTCTCGCGATCGATGTGACGACGAAGCGCTCGGTCGCCCGACAATATGGTGTACGGGCGCAGCATCAGCACCAGCGGCGCCGGCGCCGGCCTAACTGATCAAATCGCAGGATTATGATTCGGTAGCGACTTTTAAAAGTAAAAAGAAACGAGTCCGACCTTGCCCGATGGCCTTTTAGCGCGAGAAGTTCCGTTCTATTTAAATTAACGTTCGACCGGCAGTCGCAATCGAAGCACGGAGCTGGGAGCCAGTAGCCAGCCGATCCGGACGCCCCGCTCCAACGGGGATATAATAAAAACTATTTTACTACGTGTTTATTGAATCTAAAATGTATGTATACACTTCTCCTTTCGGGATCGCTCTAGTATTGTATACGGCTTGGCATACGAAGTAACAAATTAAGATTAAAACTATTATAAAACGAAAAATGATAAAACCAAAAAAAAATATGTAGCACTAAGGTGTGTACAATATTAAAGTTCACTCGTTATGTAATAATGTGTTTGAATAATGAAAAAACGCTATATAAATATTTTAAGAACATTTACAAGTAGCAAAGGCATGTTAGTTACACACAGAGTACTTATGAAGGTGTTTTATTAACTTCCACTCGATTGAACAGACGAACAGTAGATTGTATGAGAATAAAAAAATGTGATTTAATTTTTGTAGAGATAATCTGTTGTCGAAGAATATTATATATACCTACTTACATTATTATGTAGATTAAATCCAATAGAGAGACATATTATTATTGTTGTATTTTAATGATTATAGATTATATGAACGATGCGATGGTGTAAACAATGTCCGGCCAAAATGTGCATGTTTTAGATAAATTTGCCAATGCATTATATTCAAGTTAAATATATGAAAAACTAATTTATTAAAAGCGATATTTAACTAACTGTTTGAACCGTGGACACTAAATCAAAAGAAAATGGTAATAACAATATCCTGTTACAATGCAACGGCCACAGATCTAAGATTTTCGATGGAAATTCATTTCAGTGTCAGAAAGACTTTGAAAAAAACATCGTTATTGATAAATTAGTAAATCCTATATAAATATTGTATACAAAATAATGCATGGAATTCTTATACGGCTTGAAGTAAGCAGTTTTAGGCCCGTATTATAGAAAGATTAGTGATTGATCTAGTCTTGAGCATAGTTAGAAAGTGATGCCGCTATGTGCTATATATAGCGGCATCCCTTTCTAACTGTAGTCAAGTAGAGATCAACACTTAGTTGTCATTCTGTAATACGGGCCTTAGTCTTTTTATCTAATAGTAGATATTAACAACCGGAGTAAAAGTACAATTCGCTTCTAGAATAATCTTATAGTTATACTTCGGAACAACTTAACGACCTGATTGAACGAATTTCCGACTTGCTCACTATCGAACCAAAATTTGCGATCTCATTTGTTTATATTGAATCACTGAAACTACACGCGCCATTCGGCAAACTATTCGACGCGTTACTCGCTAGCTTGAAGGTCCTCTGCTTCGTTTTACCCATGATATTCTACTTACAGTCACATATCAAAGTTTTGAGTGCCCGATTAGAATTTAATTGGAGGATATCAAATTTAGATTCATCCTCTAAAACCTTGTCACAACATTCGATCGATCTTCGTTGCAAACATATTGGTGCTGCAACACAAACAAAGCATGGGCGAAACGAAATGCAGTGCCTTCCAATCGTTATTAAATCTTATTAGTCCTAGTTCACAGTCGTATGTACTTAGAAGTAATTGAAGTACATAAATATACATAAAGGAATCTAAAATATATTCCATTAACTTGTTATAGGAGTGAATGTAAGTTAATTATCACTAGTGTTATGTCGCTGTATCGGACGGACGTCTAAGTTGTGATTTGTAGTCTTTTTGACAGGTATTTTTATTGTAATCTTTATTATTATCATAATTATTGTAACTGTGATTGTTAACTATGTCGTATAGTACAGCTATTGGCAGAACTACCTCCTGGCGTGAAATAAGTTGATCGGGGTGAAAATGATTTGTGACTATTTCTTTGAGACTCGCACATTTCGATGGCACTGGTTAATAATTTACTTACACTAAGAGAGATGAAAGAGCATCTTGCATTTGTCATTTTCAGATATCTCAGTGTGTAAATTAATAACTAAGTAAGAGTTGGTCTCAGCATATTTGTGAAAAGAATTAAAGATTATAAAATTTGCCGAGACTATTATGGAGGAAGACAGCATTTCGCCTATTCTGGCTCATCCAGATTACACAAATCTGTGGTTGTTATCACAAGGAGTTTGAAACTTTTTTCGGTCAATATCTCGTGATGAAATACTGTCGCGCCATTGCAAATATTTTCTGTTTTCACGACAAGTCTGACCACATTTCACATGGTCACATTTCAGAACACTGGCGGAAAGGTGACTATTGCTCGTGAAAACAGCAAATGTTCACGATAGTGCAATTGTGTGGCCGTAGCATTTAAATAGTTCAAAGATTGATACAAACTTTTTCGACGCTTAATTATCTCAATATTCTGTGAAAACAAAAGTTGTGCACCCATATTCGATAGTGATTATTTATTGCCGTGATAACGAGACAGATTGTGTAAACTGGATTGACCAAACGCTTTCCAAATCTAAATTTATCTGTGACAATTCGCTTCCAAAAAAAGAGTATCGTAACAGTGAAATAATATTTTGAGACTTGAATATTTTTGCTAAACCAGATGAGAGACATTGCAATATATTGTATGTATAGTTTAGTGTTGTTTTTTTTCTAAAGTTACCATCAGTTTTCTGCTAGCCTTATTTTATAATGGTTAATTTTATTATACTGAGCACTGGTAGGGGGCGCTTGCGTGCTTTGATTGGTTATAATCGTGTATATATTGTACTTATGTGGGATGCGTGTTCACGAAGACTGAGGAAACTACTCAACGAACATTGTTACTAAACAAAATGTACGAAATCGTTGTCGGAAAATGATGCAATAAATTAAGAAGATTGGTAGGAGTTCCTCAGTGGGTACAAAGACAGTTGGTTTCTATCGCTGTAAATATTTATCAAATGTATGATCATTTTGAATTTTTACGATTGTTGCATAATAAAGTATTGTTTTTCTCGCTGACACGATTGGAAATTTCAAAGTTTATTGCATGTTGTCTTTGTTTTGTAATTTCAAAGCGTCAATTGTTTGCTCACTATTAAAGAGAGCTTAATTTTGCTTCTGAAAACTAAGGACCGACGGCACGAAGCATTACTATCGGCAATGAAAATATATAGTAACACTTGTATGTTTATGCTTGTTACGCTATTTACGTGGTAACAAAAATGTCATCGAAATGAATTTGTGCAACTGTATGTATATGTTGTTTGTACATGTTATCGACACCGAGGCATTTAATTATATTCGCGTAGATTTCGAAGGTTCATTACGTTGGAAATTGTTAATAAAAACTATGGAGGACATGTTGAATTTGTCTTGCCAGTTAGTGTTTTGATCGGGGTTATGTTATGTAATTATTATTATATTTTATGTGTATTTCCGAAGTGGAATTTAAAGTCAGAATAGTATTTAGTTTGTGTAGAGGATTTATTTTTTATGTGAGGCGATGTGCGCAAGCGCCATATTAAAAAGCGCGGTTTCAAAACACTTGACGTTCGGGTAGAACAGCATTTTGCTAATTATAAACGGTCGAACGTTGTTGATAAGAGTATTTTTAATTTTATATAAAACGGAGGCGGAGAGTGAATTATTGTTATCGTACGTGAATGTTATTTTGCTCTGATACTTACGAGTGGCGAATGACTTGTCAGAGAAATCATTAAATAGTCAAACAATTTAGGTACACTTGACATGGCACGTGTAAATTTTTATCGCCAATACATTGCAAAATTATGCGTGACGTGTTCAAAGATTTCATATTTATTCGGATTTTATGAATTTTATTTAACATGAACTCACACCTTTATTATGCAAACAGACGCAGAACAATAGGGTTGTCACAAACGTTTTTCCTTCTTTTAAGACTTGACTCGCCACGATATCATGAAATTGGGATTGCTTATGAATTATGAAGGGTTGTTTGATTAATTTTTTGGAGTGATAATGCTGCTGTCCCAGAGCGCCATGATTTTGAAACCCGCCTTGTCGACTGACCCGCTCATATGTTTCACGCGCACAGTCGACAAAATGACTCTCTAGTGTAAGGGTTGCTAGTTCATACGCCTTACGTTATACAAGAATCCATTTTAATAATCACAATCGTTTCAAGCGATTGTCGGGACAATGATACTTAAGAAGCAGAAAAAAATACGTTTAAAAGATAATCTACTGTCAAATTGCATTGATGAGTGGAACACTAGCATTTTTAGGTGAGGTAACACCAATTGAAGAATCGTGATTGTGAAAATGGACTCTTCTATAAGGTCACTGTTAGGTTTATCAAATTAGCTCTTATTTCCTCTTCCGAGTTGCCTGTTTCCCGTGACGCGTTGTCATGGCGTTGTTGCGGTACATAAGGATTACTATATATTTGTGAGGAGTTTTAAGCTATTGTAAATTTTACAGAAAATTAAATAAAAATGTTGTGAAAATAAACTATAAAAAAGTGATAAACAGTGAATTTTTGGCTTTTATTTTTCTCATGACTCCCCCGTTACTATTTATGGTACCCACTGAATTTTAATGCAATCTCGGTTAACATTGTCCAATAATAAGCAACTCAGAGGAGCTCGATGGCGCAGGTGGTTAGCGCGTTCGGCTGAGATCGTTGAAGTTAAGCAACTTTCGCAGTGGTCGGTCATTCGATGGGTGACCAAAAATCTTCTATCTCGAGTTCCTTCGTGCTTCGGAAGGCACGTTAAGCCGTTGGTCCCGGCTGGATCTGCAGTCGTTAGCACCCGCCAATCCGCACTGCGCCCGCGTGGTGGGTCATGGCCCAATCTCCCTATTCCATCCATAGGAAAGGCCTGTGCCCCAGCAGTGGGGACATTAATGACTGATGATGATGATGATGAAGCAACTCAACCAAAGATAATTTTCAACATTTTTACTTTACTGGACGACCCTAAAATCTTAGTTGTGTTGCGGCAGCATAGATATTTTGTAAGATGCAATCTCACTTACGATCTCATATATACGGATTTCTGACAAATGTCAAATAATTATAAAGGCTGCTTCTACAGACAAAGCGACATTTTGCCGTGTAATGGCGTAATGCACATCGAACTAATGTCTAAAATGGCAACTACCGAAATCGGAAGTGAGATTTTATTTGACAGGATCGCTCTACAGTATGATTGTAGTCATAAAGAAAGTGGCAGCATCAACTGGCATCAAACTTAAAAATTTATTGACGTGACTGAGTGCGACCGTAAATGACAATTTGGTCCATACTCACGGTATTACTCGTTAGTTTTATTCTAAAGCAAATACAAATCAACAGGAGCTTTACTCTCTTTCTCCGAAACGAAATTTCGGTAACGAACGAATTTTAAACGAAATTTCACCATTGACTCTACTCTATTTCATTTTCGAACAGGCACATTAACTTCGGAACCATAAACAGTTTTCGTGAACGAATGGAATGAGTCATGTTTGTGAGTTCTTTTTATTTCTACTTTTAAGAAAACGTTTTTTTACTTGGAAACAATATAGGTAGTTTACGGCAAATTTTTTGATGACATTGAAAGAACATTCTTTGACAGTGTTAGCCGACTAAATTGTAGAGTCGATACAATCTACTGTATGTCAACCTAAATTTGTCGTTTAATACTTTGAAGTATTCAAATTACAATAAATAATAAAAAAATGGTTTATTTGTTAATTTTACATGCTATAAATGTTTCTCGAGCTAAGCAGCAATTATTAAAAATACTCTTGCAAGTATTTTACGCTTAATTAAAACAAAAATCTCGAAACGAAAATGAAAAGGTAACACTTTTCATTTCGTCAATTTGAGGTTAAAATTTCGAACAATTATCTGTCAAATTCAACTTTTCCTTCGAAATTTTCGTGAATTAGAGTAGGCTTAGAGAATTTAATTGTCAAACTATTTCGGACGAACGAACTTTCGAAATGAAAAGGAAACAGAGTAAGGAACGTGCGAAATTTCGATTGAAATTTCGTTTTTCGTTAAAATAGAGTAGGCCTCCAGGAATGCAGGAGAATCCTACGACCGAGGCCTGTGTGTGTGTGTGTGTGTTTTGTATATACACTACTCACCAAGGGAGACCTACTTTGAACTTTCATGGAATAAAGTCGAATGAAGTTTCGGGTATATTCCAGAACGCTCTCGCAACTACCTTTTCATTACAATATTTTGAATAAGTAACTATGTGAGGGTTTCATGCTAGTTCCGTTCTATAAATTAAATACATGCATACTAATATAAAATTGGTGTAGTTTTATGAAATCATAACGCAAGTGAAACTTAATATCATTATTTTGTTTTCCTTCCTTGGCTGGGAATTAAACTCGGGCCGCCCGCGTAGCAGGCGTGCTTTCTACCACTGAGCCTAGATGTTTCTATTTTTTTATAACAATTTTGGTTTGTATGGGTTTCAAGGTGTCGCCTACTCGAGAGATCCCGGGTTCGAAACCCGGTGGGGGCAGATGTTTGTGTGATGAATTCGAGCATTTGTACTTCAGTCATGGATGTTTAATATGTATTTCTATATAAATACACTTATATATGTATCAGTATATGTTCTCTTTCCGTTACCCTAGGAACCCATAACATAAGCCTACAGTGCTTACTTTGCGGCTAAGAAATCCTATGTCTTTATGTCCTTATGGGGCCTGTGCCCCAGCAGTAGGGACATAGGCTGATGATGAAGTCTATAAAATACAAAGTACACGCGGCTGGTAAGGCTACCGAATAGACACTAATTTTAGATTGAATATTTTAATATTACGAAATAATGAAATTGATAAATTATAAAGTAACTAGCAAACCAGTGAACCAAATGTTCACCAAAACCTGATTTCTCGAAAACCGGAAGTGCTACGTTACTCAAATCCGGTTTGTAGTCTTATCAGACTATTCTTAACTTATAACTTAAATATTCTCTTTATCTATCTCTTACGGCTTGGCCGCTGAAACAGCACCACAGACAGACGGACGGACTTATCAATAGATAAGAGATATTTCGCGCAACGCATCATATTACTGGCGCGTTCACCTTACTTATTATCAGTTCAATGTGTGGCTAAACCCGTACAGCCGTCGTGTTGCTTTGTAGAGTAGGATTTTAGACCTCCACGGAGTAGATCAAGTTCACGTCCAGATTGACAAGGTGAGGATCACTGGAGCGGCACACTCTTCTGCCATAACA